GAGGTATATGTACTTCCTAGACAATAATTACACCTTCCCAAGTCCTGTGTTGCTCATCATTACTGTAAGAGAAACCTGAAAGCCAGGGATTGTCTGCCAGAACTCTTCTTAGATCTTGCCACTCATTAGGGTTGTCACTTGTCCTTTTGACTGGCATCTCCCCAGCTAGTGAGGTTGAGAATATTTGAAGGCACTTATTAAGCAGATGGATTCCTCTTCTGTTACCTGTCTATTCCCATACCTTTTCCCTTTTCCTTTTTGTTTCTCCTTTTCCATAATAACTGGTTTTTTGAATATATGTTTTTCACCACTTTTAAAGAACATTTTATGGTTGGTTTTTGGAGGATTGTGAAATTGCTTGGTTTTTTAAAAATCCATGTATATTAAGGATATAAGGGAGAAAGTAGCTATCTTAGTCTATTTGGAATGCTGTAACAAAAATACCATACATTGCGTGAGTTACAAAGAACACAAGTGTATTTCTCACAATTCTGGAAGCTGGGAAATCCAAGATCGAGGCACCCTCAAGTCTTCCTGGTTCAAGGCGGCTCTCTTTTTGCTTTGTCCTCAGATAGTGAGAGGCAAGAGAATGCTCAGGGGTCCTCTTGATAAAAGCATTAATCTCATTCAGGAGGGCTTTACTCTCATGACCTAAGCAGCTCCCAAAGGCCCCATCTCCAAATACCATCACACTGAGGATCAGGTTCCAACATACAGATTTGAGCAGGGAGAGCATAAACACTCAGTCTATAGCAGTAACAATCACTTAAAATTTCTCCACTTAGAGAAATCACTTAGAAATTTTTCACTTTTCCTTGCAATTTTTCCAAGCCCAGTTTTCCAGAATAATCTTGTATCAGTCAATATATAGTTTTGAATTCTAGTTTTTTCATATAATATTATATCCTAAGCATTTTCTCAAATCATCAAAAGTCTTCATAAATAGCATTTAAATGACTGTCTAATAGCATCAAATGGATAAACCATCATTTGATGTAATGCCTTCAGAAATAGCAGATGTGGATCATTTCCAATTTCTCACTACTACAACTATGATGAGCCTCCTAGGCAGAGATATGTTTATGTTTCAGATTTCCTTAAATACATTCTCAAGAGTGGAATTGGTTTGTATTTCAGATATCCTTAAATACACTCTCAAGAATGGAACTGAGTTAAAAGAAAAACATTTAAAGATTTTTGTTATAGATCCATTTGTTTTTGAGGACTCATTTGTAAACTAATGTTTTATATATGAAGAAAATTACTGCGGTGAAAATATCACATTCAAACTTAGTCTAAGCATTGGTGGTTCCAGCCAATGTCTTGAGGACTCACGACATTAAGCAAACATGTCTCATTTAAGCAAACATGTCTTACACCTATGGCTTATTTTAGACATTAGACGGCTGTGGATAACACTGACCAGGATCCTGCTGTTGAAGAGCAAAGGCCTGAGAAAAAGAGGAACAATGATTGACTAACCATTACAGGAGGAAGAGCGAAATAAATCTTCAACAAAATGCTAAGTCAGCACGTGTTGGGAGGAAGTGGTGAAATGACACAGCCAGGAAGATAAGCTGTTATCACTTAACAACAAGATAAGTTGTTGTTAGATTAGAGTCTCATAAACACCCTAGAAGGCACTGGGACTCTTCATATAATCAATACTGGAAGTTATGAACGCCCAGTCTGGGATTTGAGACTTGGTTTTAGGATTTTACATAATTACATAGGTTTATGGTTTTTACAGCTTTGCTTTTATGATCTACTGTTGGTCATGCTGCAGTTTCCTTGATATAAGGTCCCTGGCACGCAGCCTCTGCCTTTTTCCTGAAGTTTTATCTGGTGGTAATCCACTCTATATTGTGGCTTTGAAGACTGCATTGCATCTTCAAGGCAAAGACTGTATTACTCCCTAGTTTGGGCTACACTGTTCATATCAGTAGGCTCTGGTGAGTGGAGAGACCTGCCAGGCTGGCTTCCAGTAGAGCACACCTGTCCACTCTCAGAAGCTGAAGAGACCCTAAACCCCATGACCCAACCCAAATCACCTAAGGGTGGAATTCTGGGATTGCTCTCGAGTCAGAATTTTTGAATGGGACATGTGCTTTCCCCACTGACCAGTCATCGAACCTGGACAGTCTATTTCAATCTCTCACCTTTCTTTCCCAACTATAAAAGAGGACCAAGAGTGATCATGAGAAGACAAAATGAGAATTAAAAGAAGGAAATTGTCTTTGAAATATCCATATTTTATTATATTTGAAGAAATCTAAAGGAAAGATTTTCTAGTCCCTCTTCTCTGAACAAACTTTTATGTTCATGGGGAATGGGAAGAGAAGGGTGATAACGCATTAATTTATTCTTTGTTTTTTAAAAGTTGTATCTTAAAGCAAAGTGACAGAAGAGCTATTTTCTTTGTTACATCACTAGAGAGGCAAACTCTGACTAGCTAAGAACCCATTGTTCTATGTGCCTAAGATTTTGAAAGTTAAGAGGAGAGTTGTGTACAGATATACCTCATTTTATTGTGCCTCACCTCATTGTGTGTTTTATAAATAGGGGTTTTGTAACAATCCTGCATTGTCAGATATTAGCATTCTTTACCAATAAAATATTTTTAATTAAAGTATTTTTTAGATATAATGTAATTGCTTAATAGACTATAACATAGTGTAAACATAACATTTATATGCACTAGGAAACCAGAAATTTTGTGACTCACTTTATTGTGATATTTGCCTTAATCCAGTTGTCTGGATACAAATCCAAAATATCTCCAAGGTATGCCTGTGGAAGACTAGGTAGGAAAGTTTCTGTAAGATTTACAAGTTGTTACCAGGCTCTACCCCACAACCCTGCAGACATTTGAGCCCTCAAGAATTCCCTTCTACTTATTTACAAAACAGAAACAGACTCACAGACTTAGAGAATGAACTTACGGTTTCTAGACGGAAGAATAGGGGGGAGCGATAGTTAAGGAATTTGGGATCAACATGTATACACTGCTATACTTAAAATATGTAACCAACAAGGACCTACTGTGTATCACAGGGAGCTCTGCTCAATGTCATGTGGCAGACTGGATGGGAAGGGAGTGTAGGGGAGAATGGGTCCATGTGTATGTATGGCTGAGGCCCTTTGCTGTCCACCTGAAACTATCACAGCATTGTTAATCGGCTACACTCCAATACAAATAAAAAGCTTATTTTTAAAAAAGAATTACCTTCTACTCAGTCATCTACAAAGAAGATTTGCTTGGGCAGATTTGCTTGGAAAGCAAATTCTAACTTGATGGGGGGAAATTCAGTCAAGCTCCTGAACAAATGAAGCTTGAAAGTGTTCTAGCAGAGATTTTCAGAGAAGTGCATCTACTTCAGTGAGCGTAAGAAGAAACTTGGAGAATTCCTGCTTCTCAGCCTTTTGTTGCATGGAGAAAATATACTACTCCTTCAAGAGCCTATCGAAAAAGAAGGAAGCCCTGTTCTGGGTGATTTAGGCTCAGGTGGAGGCCAGCTAGAAGAGGCTACACCTTCATTCAGAGATGCTTAGAGAAGACAGCAGTGACTAGACCCACTCCCCAATATATCCACCCACCCCCTCACCAACCATCCATGGAACAGCCCCTAAAGAGCAAGATTGAGGCATCCCTTACCACCCACCACCAAGTCTCCATCCTGGACAGACAGGCCCTGTGCCAGATTAACGAGGTGCTTCCCAGGGGCCGCTTCCCTTGCTGGAGAGTGGCCCACCCACTCTCCCTGCCTGCTGCCTTCAAGAACCATCCCCCGCCCTCTGCCGCATCCTAAGCTGACCGCCTCTTTAGAAGCTCCTTCCGCCTGATGTCTCCACTGACCCCCACCAGCTACCTGGCAGTGTTACCCCAGCTTTGCTCTCCCCTTCAGCTGTCATCTCATCACTGTTCCCTAAGGATCCTCTTTCTACTTTCTTCTCTGAGATCCTCACACCTGCCTGTGCTTGAAAGAGAACCTGAGAAATTCTCAGGACACCCTAAGTATAACTCAGTTTCTGTTCTGCAAATCCTCAGCCCCGCTCAGAAACATGTGGAGCCTTGCCTCCACTCTCCACCCAGGAGAGGTGGTATTTTTAGAGGGATTGCAGAATGGGGAGGGTCAGACGGAGCCGAAAAGATGGGTCCACTGAACAGAAACCCTTGCTTAGATGGAAGATCATAATCATAAGAATAAGAGCTATAATTTTCTGAGACACTTTCCTATTTACCTGCATCATCTCCTGGGCTCCTCAGCATCACTCGCAGAGGAAGATAAGCAGGTGTACTGGCTCCGCTTTACAGACAAAGAATATGAATGAAGCTGAGAGAAGTTGAGTAAGTGGTTAGAGCAGAAGCCAAAACCGGGGGTCGGAGATATTTGAGGCCCCTTCAGCTTCTTACAATGGAAAGTGAGCCCTGCCCTCTCTGGTCTCTGGCCATGTACTGGGACACCCTGCCCAGCAGAGCTCACTCCATGAGCCAATCCACACAGCAGAAGACCTGTGGGAAAATGCCATGCCCCGAGAACAAGGTAAGGGAAGATGGCAATCCTGAGGAGAGCTTCATATCAAGTAAACAATGTCTGCTGCTGACAACAGACCGTAAAGGCAATGTTTGAAGAGCTATAAACCTCCAACCTCATGTGAAGCAGGAAAACCACACTCCAAACCCACCAGACAGGGTATACACACTGCCAAGACAAGTTCAACCATGGATTCCACCCCTCCGCCCCCGCTGCACTCCCCACTGCTTCTCCCTGGCAGCCTGAGAAGCGAGTTCTGTCATGTGTGGTTTGTTCTTTTCTCCGACAAATGTGAAGAACCTGATCTGGAAAGCGCTGCCTGCCAAGAGCAGATGTAACACAAGAGCCACATCCATGGCTAGGGCCTTGCTCCAGACCCTCTTCTGTAGGATCTGAGAGGGGGGTGAGGTGGGTAGAGATGGCCCCTCCAGCTCCTTATCTCCGGCCTGGTAACACCTTACCCACCTCACCCACTCCAGGATGATGGAAGTAAGGATCAGGGGCTCGGAGACCTCCCCAACCTCATGCGGGTAAGGAGGGGACTTGCCCTTTACCCCACAGGAGCCAGGGGTTACAGTTGCAGAGTCATCTTGTTTTCTCCTGCCCCTCCTAGCTCCAAAGTGGTTCCCTCTCTTGAGTACTGGCTTATCCTACTGGGAAGAGAAAGGTGGGCACTTAAGGATTTACACAGGGTGCTTATCAAAGAAGATGATTCTGAGATGTTGTTTAGTAGCTAAGTCACATCCAACTTTTTTGCGACCACATGGACTGTAGCCCACCAGGCTCCTCTGTCCATGGGATTTCCCAGGCAAGAACATTGGAGTGGGTTTCCATTTCCTTCTCCAGGGGATCTTTGTGACCCAGAGATTGAAGCTGCATCTCCTGTATTGCAGGCAGATTTTTACCACTGAGCCACCTGGAAAACCCCTGAGATGTTAAGGAGACCCACTATTACAATACAAAAATCCAAATATTGCTTTTGTGAACAATGGCTCATCTAAGCCTTAGAGAGCCCTGAGGAATAAATGGACTAATATTAGTATTTATATCAATGTTCTTATTGCTATTTGTACTGGAATTACTATTGCTATTCATATCACTATTTGTGTTCACATTCACATTAACACTGGTATTTATATTTGTATTCACATTAGTATCCACACTCATATTGGTGCCCATGTTGATACTGGTATCAGTGTCAGTCCTTAACAGGAACACATGGTGATGCACAGACAGCTAGAAAGGCCAGTGCTGCTGCATCTGCCTTCTATTCTCCATAAGCACTGGAGATCTTCTTGGGCAGTAATGACAAGTATAGAAGCTTCTGAGTTCTCTTTAACCTGGGACAAAAACAAAATGGCAATGCACCCTCATGGAGCCCTGAGACAGGAGAAATTACACAAGCAAAGTTGCAAGCACAGCCCCTGGATTCTACATGTGAGGGCAGGTTTATAGTGAGGCAGTGGGGAGTTATGCTAGAAATGAGAATGGAAGGGTACATTCTGAGTGATATTATGGGTTATAATAAGGGATTTGTTCTTATTAAAAAAAATGAGTCACCAGTGAGGTTCTAGGAGCTCTCTGAAGTCCCAGGATCCAGGGCCAGGATTTTCCCTTGCCTAGCACACCAGGACATTGCACACACACACACACATACTACAGACACACCAACTACACACACACACACACACACACCACACATCCTCCACACATACCACACATACCTACCACACACCACACATATATCACACATGCATACTACACATACCACACACACACACCACACATACAATACACACACATATACCACAGACACACCAACTACACACACACACACACACACACACCCCACACACATCCTCCACGCATACCACACATACCTACCACACACCACACATGTATCACACATGCATACTACATATACCACATACATACACATACCACGCACACATACCACACACCACACACTGCAGAAAGCCTCTAACAGTCATCTGTATGTGACTCTGTTCTGAGAACCCTGGCAGAGCAGAGCCAAGCTTGTTAACTTAACCAGAGTAAGCTGGAGGCTTGTTCCATAGATGTCAGCCCCAGAACAACTGGTGATGATCTTGTTATTCATGGAGATTTCACACCACCCCAGTATTTCTTTATGAAAGGAAACCGAAGCCTCAGGCTGCCCAAAGCATCAAGAGGCCTACTCTTTATGGTACTACTTAGCCTGTGGGCACACCTACGGCACAGAGGCCTTTTGTGGGCCGCAGGACCCGAGGTGCCTGCATCCTCCCAGGAAGGGCCAGCACTGCATCCCATCTTTCTCTCATCTCACATCACGTGCAAGGACACAGCACGAGATCTCACATCTCTGGGACTTTCCACCACAGGATGCCAATGCAAAGGCATGGGTTTCCTCTTTTCATGTTATTTCATGACATAAAAGAAAGCACCCACCCAGGGAGCCAGAGTCTGAAAACTATGCACATTCCCCATATTAGCATCCCTTTGATCTGTAGGGGCAGCTGGAGGGAGACACACTGAGCTAGACTGGGGGTCTTGTCCTTTCCTGTTCATCAGTTTCCCTCCTGCTTTGGGAGCAGTGATGCCCGTGTGTCCCTGGAACCAGGTAAACATGGGAGCAAGTGCAATGTACAACTTCCTGAAGCACACTAACAGTCAAGGTCAGGATCAGAATTGAAGGTTTAACATCAGAAATGCAAGCACCCAGGGCTTCCCTGATGGCCCAGTAGGTAAGACTCCTCACTCCCAATGCAGGGGGCCCGAGAACTAGATCCCACATGCTGCAACTTAAAAAAAAAAGTCTCACATGCCACAATAAAGATTGAAGATCCCACATGCCACAACTACAACCAGCACAGCCAAATAAATACATGTATGCATGTGTGCTCAGTAGCTCAGTTGTGTTCGACTCTGTGACCCCATGGATTGTAACCCACCAGACTCCTCTGTCCATGGGATTTCCCAGGCAGAAATTCTGGAGTTGGTTGCCATTCCCTGCTCCAGGGGATCTTCCCAACCCAGGGATCAAACCTGAGTTCTCCTGTGTCTCCTTAATCTCCTGCATTGGCAGACAGATTCTTTACTACTGAGCCACCTGGGAAGCCCCAAATAAATACATAAAGAAATATTTAGAAAAAAAAAAAAAAGAAGAAATGCAACTACCTTGTGCTTGTATTTCACAGCACTGGAAAGAATTCTGGATCTTTCTAACTGAAGGATACCCCAGAGCTTATCTAACTTCCACATGCCACAGACAAGGAAATTCAGGAAACTGTTTTTCATGTGTGACCCTCTGATCAGCTGCACCAGAATCTCCTGTGGGCAGATTTCTGAGTCCTTTCCCAGATGTGCTGAATCAAGATTTGCAATGGAAAGCCTAGGAAACTGCATTTTAAACAGACTCCCCAGAGCATTATGTACATGAGAATGTTCTAGAAGTACAGCTGGAGACATAACAATAATAGTAATAACAACCACAGGATTGAGGGGAGGTAAATCTGGATAGCTCCAAAGACTGGTTTCAACCCCACTTAGAAGCTCAGCAAGAGCGAGCTCAGCAGTTTCGAGCAAACCAAAAGATTCCAAGCAAACCCCAGCCACAGAGTCTACAAGGTTACCCCATTCTAATAAGGCTACTATCTCAGCTAAGAAGCCCACTACCCACGTGTTCCCTGATGTTCTGTCTGTATAAGGAGGCAAGGTCATTCTACTGACGCCCTTTCCCTGGTATGTACAGTCCTGGCCCTAACAGGCTTCTTATTATACTATTTCCACAAACATCTATTGCAGGAGTTATGTGCCAGGCACTGTGCTAGATAACAGCAATATCATCATGACCAAATGTAGGTCCCCAGGTGACTGGTCCAGCTCCCCACCTGGTCCCTACAGATGCCCTGGCTAGTGATGAGAACAAGGACTTGGGAGTCAGGCAGGCCTGAGCTACAATCCCAAGTCCACCTCCTCCTAGCTGTTACTTTGGACAGTTTTCTTAAGCTCCCTCAGCCTCCATTTCTACATGTGTCACATAAGGAAAAATAAGACCTCCCTCTACCTACCTCTCAGTGAAAAAGCTGGCTTAAAACTCAACATTCAGAAAACTAAGATCATGGCATCCGGTCCCATCACTTCATGGCAAATAGATGGAGAATCAATGAAAACAGTGACAGACTTTATTTTCTTGGGCTCCAAATCACTGCAGATGGTGACTGCAGCCATGAAATTAAAAGACTGTTGCTCCTTGGAAGAAAAACTATGACAAACCTAGACAGCATATTAAAAAGCAGATACATTACTTTGCCAACAAAGGTCTGTCTGGTCAAAGCTATAGTTTTTCCAGTAGTCATGTATGGACGTGGGTTGGACTATAAAGAAAGCTGAGCACCGAAGAATTGAGGCTTTTGAACTGTGGTGTTGGAGAAGACTCTTGAGTGTCCCTTGGACTACAAGGAGATCCAATCAGTCAGTCCTAAAGGAAATCAGTCCTGGGTGTTCATTGGAAGGACTGATGCTGAAGCTGAAGCTCCCATACTTTGGTCACCTGACGGGAAGAGCTGACTCATTGGAAAAGACTCTGATGCTGGGAAAGACTGAAGGCAGGAGGAGAAGGGGACGACAGAGGATGAGACGGTTGGATGGCATCACTGACTCAATGGACTTGAGTTTGAGCAAGCTTCGGGAGTTGGTGATGGACAGGGAAGCCTGGTGTGCTGCGGTTCAAGGGTTCACAAAGAGTCAGACACGACTGAGTGACCGAACTGAACTGAACTACCTGCCTCTCGGGTTGTTATGTTGTGGACTTGAGACAATCTTCATAAACACTAAGCACAACATCTGCACAGCAGGTGCTTAGCAACTGAGTCCATCACCATCGCTATCACTCTGTGTGCCCTCGGACAAATGACCTCAGTTCCACAAAGGACTGCTCAGCCAGCCAATATTTGTTGAGCACCTACTCTGTGCCAGGTACTGAAAATGTACAATGAATAGGACAAGGCCCCTATCCTCACAGAACTTTGATCCAGAACAAAAAAGATAAGGTACTGTATTAGTTGTATTAGTTTACTAAGACTGCTGTGACAAAGTACCACAAACTAGGTGGCTTAAACAATGAAAATGTACTGTCTCACAGTCCTGGAGGACAGAAGTCCAGGATCGAGGTATCATCAGGGGTGACTCTTTCTGAGGCCATTGCATGCCTCTCCCCCAGCTTCGGGCGATGTCTGGTGCTCTTTGCCTTGCAGGCGCGTCAGCGGGATCCCTGCCTTCATCTTCACATGGGGCACTCGGTGTGTCTGTGTCTATCTGTCAGTCTCTGTGTTCAGAGTTCCCCCATTTTTTAAGGATGTCATATATTTTGGATTATGGGTCCACACTCAAGACCTCTTTTTAACTTAATTACCTCCAAAAAGACTCTACTTTCCAAATAAGGTTGCATTCTGAGGTACTGGGGGTAAGAATTTCAGTATTATCCCTTCTGGAGGAACACAATTCAATCCATGAGAGTGCCTCATTTCATCCACTCACTCATTTGATTTCTAAGTCAAGTTGATCCAGCACAGGCCTCCTTCTAATTCAGCTTAATCTCCTAGAATTGAGTGTGCCCAGCATGTTCAGTGCTCTTGAAGCTTATCTCCAAGAACTATTTCTGTCTCTCTCCTCTCTGCTCTCAGGAAGGTAAGACTTTGACCTTTCCCTCCAGCAGGGGCTCATTCATTGCCCTTTCCCAGGTCTCCAACTCCAGTTACCTGCCCCACAGACAAGGCGCACAAGCCTTAGATAGAGGCTACCACACCCTGCACCTGGTATTTCCTGCTTTGCACATAGTCATCTCATATAAACGGAAAATTCATCTCTTTGTGAAATTGCCTATCTCCTGCAGCTTAAGTTGGAAGAATGTTTACTTATCTGGCCCCAGGGAATCATATACATCTTGCAGCGTATGTTAACAGTCGCTCCATAACACCATTCATTTTTACTATCCGAAATTACAGAGTGCTCCCCATGGGATTCACCTCCGGTGTTTAACAGACCAATGGGCTCTGTCTTCCTTGTCTCAGGCCTCAGAGGGACAATGTTTCTGGTTCTGGTTTGTCCCCTTCAAAAAAAAAGAAAAAACCAGCATCTCTTGATGTGAAAATGTAGAGACCAACCAACACAAACAAGCCTCATCACAAAACTTCTATAAATGCCCAAACAGAAGAAAAGTCAGTGACTACAAAGAATGATAATCTTTAGATTTGGTTTAAACCAGCAGTTTCTAAAGGAACTGGTAAGCGAGCATGAGTGAATCTGAGTTGAAGACACTTGGGATCCTCATGGTATCCTCCCCTTAGGTCCACCAGCCCTTGTGCACCACCTCGTGCTCCACTAACACTTCCACCTCCTTCGCACCCCCCACAGTGGGTCTGTCTCTCTCCAAGACCCTACAGCACCCGTGTTCCCCTCTACAGTAGCACTGCCAACACTCACTGTGACCGATGTTCACTGTTCTGGCTCCCCAGCTAGACTGTGTGAACATGGGTAGCAGGTGTATTTCTTTCCTGCACCCAGCCCAGGTCCTGCTCATCCCATCCTTGCTGCCTGTCTGAAATGGTAAACTGCATCCTCTCTCTGTGACCACCTGCGAGGCAAGCTTCCCCTCTCCCTTCTCTTTCTCTGTGTCTGTCTCTTGTCTCTTTCTCTGTGTGTTTGTGTGTATGTGTCTTCTTAATCCCTCTCTCTGCCCCTCCATCCTCCTCTCCCTCCCACCCTCTCTCTCTTCCTACCAACCCCTTCTCCCCTCTCTCTTCTCTCTCTTCCCCTTCCCCCTCTATTCTGACCACTCTGAACTCTCAGCACTGGTCCAGACCTGTTGCTGGGAACTTCCTCATGCTGCTGTGAACTGGTCCTTGTCTTTTCTGTCCCTCCCTTTGTACCCTTTTGTCTAGCACCATGCTGGCATCCAGTAGGTCCCTGACGCTGTTTGTGGATGACTGGTTGGTAGAGACACAGTGTGGTATAACAGGGAGAACTCAGAATGTAGAAGACTTGATTCCAGTTCTGGCCTCATATCTGGACAGTGAATTGACTGTGTGATTCTGAACTCATGGCTCTTGGCCTCCTCCTGGGAGATAGGTGAGTTAGGCTGAGGGAACGGCCTTGGATCTCTGATGAGCTCTAGCTCCCAAGTCAGCTGGTGCAGAGGGGCCCTGAGTTAGAAGTGCCAAGCCACAGTGGCAAGTCCCATGGGGCAACATAAGCACCCCCAGGCCCCAGAGCAAAGGGG